GGTAAAAATGATATTTGGCTAGCCCAACTATTCTTATGAATCTTGGGCCCTTATTACAAATAAGCTAGATTACCCATAAAGACATCTCTAATCAAGGGAAGGAAAGCGAAGAAAAGTATGGGGAAGAGAAGACACTTGCTCTTCAAAGCAAGAGATGAAAAGCCATAAAGCGGGTGCTGGCATGCATGAATGACGTGTTTGCACGCACGAGTAATAGTGGGGGGCGACTATTCCCACCATATCCTGTTTATATACCTTTAATTTCTATTTATACTTTTTGAAATGGCAAAAGAATGGTTTCAACGGTACATCATGAATGTTGATATTTAAATGATCATTTTGTTATATATATATATATATATATATATATATATATATATATATATATATATATATATATATATATATATATATATATATTTTTTTTTTTTTTTTGTTCTTGTGAGGTCAAGTCTTCCCGTGCGGTCAGTGCGGCATACACCATTAGATATGCATAAATGCACCATACAGTGTTTGAAAATACACCAGAATGAAATGCCAAAAAATACACCACACAAAAAAAATACACCACACATAATGGTGTATTTACGAACACTGTGTGGTGCATTTATGCATACCTAATGGTGTATGCCGCACTGACCGCACGGGAAGACCTGATCTCACAGGAACCTAACCATATATATATATATATATATATATATATATATATATATATATATATATATATATATATATATATATATTCATGTATCCTGTATCTTTGAAAGTCAAGTTTAATCAATACAATACATTCAGTTTTCATCTGGTATCAGTTCGCTACTAAGACTGTTTTGCAGGCACCTCCAGTTCCACATGCTCATCCTTGGGCTGAATCCGTTTTGCAATCATGTCATGACACGTCAGCTAGTACATGGGCATGTGGTCGTTCACGTGACCACTCTATAAAGCCAACCACACGGACTCATGCCATGACCACTAGGAGTCAGTCTCGTGCTCCACCTGTGGTCCTTACTACACAAGCTTGTCCTACTGAGCCCACTTGTTATATACACAGGCAGTTAAGTATCCCGAGTGGGGTGAGGTAATGGATCAAGAGTTCAATGCTCTTCTACAAAATCAGACATGGTGTCTAGTTCCTTCTCGATCAGATACGAATGTTATTGGGTGTAAGTGGGTCTTTCGTACTAAATGGAAGACTGATCGTTCAATTGAAAGACAAAAGGCAAGGGTAGTAGCAAAATGGTTCAATCAAGTTCATGGACATGATTTCTTTCATACATTTAGTCCAGTGGTAAATCCCACTACTGTCAGGTTACTTCTATCTTTAGCTTTATCCTCTGGTTGGGTTATTAGACAGCTTGATGTTCATAATGCTTTCTTAAATGGTAATCTGACTGAAACTGTCTATATGTGTCAGTCACCTGGATATATTAATTCTCAATTCCCTAATCATGTTTGTCTGCTAAAACAATATCTGTATGGCTTAAAACAAGCTCCTAGAGCTTGGTTTAATCGCCTATACACATTTTTACTGTTAGTTGGATTTAAGGCATCAAAGACAGATGTGTCGTTATTTCACTATTCGCATGATTCTGCTTCTGTGTATCTGTTGCTTTATGTGGATGATATATTTGTGATAGGAAATGATCAGAATTTAGTGAATAATTTACTGTCTAAATTGTCTACTACTTTTAAGATTAGAGATCTTGGTGTTTTTCTTGGGATTGAAACTATTAAATGTGATGATGGAATATTACTTGCTCAACAGATTACATGAAAGATGTTTTAAAACGTGCTGGTATGACAAAATGCAAGTCTCTACCTACTCCTATTCCTGTCTCGAAGTCTGTTCCTTTTTCAATGCAGATTTGTATGATGATCCTACGCAGTACAGGAGTCTGGCTGGGGCGTTACAATATCTCACAATCACACGACCTGACTTGTCTTTTGCAGTTAATCAACTTTGTCAGCATATGCATGTTCCTACAATATCACATTGGGAGCAACTAAAACATGTATTGAGGTATGTTAAAGGAACAATTACTTTGGTTTGTGCATAAGGAAGTTAGTGTCAATAGAACTTCATGCTTTTTCTGATTCTGATTGGGCTGGTTGTCCTGACGATCGTAAGTCTACTAGTGGTTATGCTATGTTTCTTGGGTCCAATCTTGTGTCTTGAGTCTGTAAGAAACAAAGCACTGTTGCTAGATCTTCTAATGAGGTAGAGTATAAAGCTCTAGTAGATGTTTGTGTTGCGGTGATATGGATTTTATCTTTGCCACGTGAGATCAATATTCATGTTCATAAGTTATGGTGTGACAATCTTGGTGCTACTTATATGTGTGCAAATCCGATCTTCCATGCTCGCACCAAACATGTTGAAATTGATTTCCATTTTGTCAGAGATAGAGTTGCATCGGGAGATATTCAAGTTACTTTTATTTCAACGAAAGATCAACTTGCTGATATATTTACAAAAGTTTTACCTGGTGCTAGATTTTCTTTTCTTAGAGACAAACTACATGTTACTAGTTTACCCTGAGGGGGAGTATTAAGACTCTATGTATTTGAGTTAAATGACTCCCTATCCTAGTGTCCTTGTAATTCTCTTACTATATATATTCTTCTATCTTGTATCTCTGAAAGTCAAGTTTAATCAATACAATACGCCAATACATTCAGTTCTCATATATATATATATATATATATATATATATATATATATATATATATATATATATATATATATAGACACACACACACCCATAAGCATTTTGTATGCGTGATGCGTGAAAATTCATGCCCAATATTAAAACATTGATAAATATAAATAATTACAAATTATAATTCAAATTATATATACACAAATAAGGTACGTATTTTAATTTACACACACATATATAATTTATCATTTATAGAAATTTAATTAAAATATAATCAACCATTAAATTAATTATATAATGATTTTAATAAAACTAGTAATTTACTCGCGCGATGCACGGGAAAAAAATTATGTTATTATAAATATAAATAAAAAAATAGAAAAAATAAAAATATTTTAAATTGTTTAATATAATAATATTTTTGAGCTTCCATTGGTCAAGTATTTATTATTTTTATAGAATACAAAATTATAATTAAAATTTTGTATGGTTAATATAATCTCTAATTATGTACATTTTCAAATAAACTTATAGAGAGAATTTACATAATTACATTGATTTATTCTTAATTGTATGTCATCTATATTATAATTTTCACAATACGAATAATAACTAAGATAATTACATTTAGAAAGCAAATTTCAAATTTTGTATGAGTAAATTTAAACTTTAATTGAACACATTTTTTTTATATGATTATATAATATATTCTTTATGCACATGGCATTCCATAAACTCAAATGTCATTTTATAAGTCCAAGACCACTTTTTGTGGAGATAATTCAAATGTATTTTTTTTCTTTTAAAAGTCCTAAGTTTAGACATCCAGAAAAACATTAAAGACCCATACGATATATACATTTATATATATATTTAAATTTTTATTTATGGCTTAAATGATTTTTTTTTAATTCTGGAGTCCAATAATTGACCCACGGCCCGCAACATTTGCTTTCTTCATTCCTTCTCGCTTCTGCCATTTCTTTGAAGCATTTGAGATGGAGAAAAATTATATGTAGAGGCTTGCATTAATTGCACTATTTCAGATATTGAATAGACTTTCATCGAAAATTTAATTAATATTGTAATCCCAAGAACCACCATAAATAACAAAAGCATATCAAATAGACTTTCATTGTAAAGCCAGAGATTTAACTAATATTGCATCGTTTCATATTTTCAATTAATCGGGAATCGGAATCCTTAATCCTAATATCATAACATTTAATAACTCCATTAATTCAATAAATGTAATCCTTTGTTATGGGCGAGAAAAAAAAATAGCTATTTTATTTTTCAAATGTTGTGCTTTATTATTATTATTATTATTATTATTTTTTATTATTATTATAGTAAAAGGTGTTGTGGCTATTTTATATTTATAGCTAGTAATAATAATAATGTTGATAATTAATTGTAACATTAATTATTTCCCAACCATATAGCTTTATTATATGTAAGATGATAATTAAACAATGGACAAAATATATGATAGATATAGGTGTATGGTAATAATGATGGAGTTATCAATGTTAGAATTAAAAAGTAACGGTGTTATAATGATTTAATTAGAGTATTTTTGTCTAACAAGAATCTAGTAGGGACAATTTTGTTTAATAACATTGAAGTGTACAACATTTAAAGTAAAATATATACAAAATTTGATAATATGGTAGAAGTACTCACATTTGAAAGTAAGAGAATATTGTAGGGACAAAGATAGTCTAAAAACATAATTAGTTTCAATCCAGGTTATACCCCTAGTTTATGTCCGTTTTTTCTGTTAATATTTTTTGTACCTTATGCTATACAAGTTGTACGACATAATTTTTTGGACAAAAATATCCCTGCCGTTATAACTTCAGTTATCTTTCCACATTATTATTACCATGTACATGCATACACAATATTTTTTCTTACATCCTTCAATGGCAAATTTGAATTCATTCAGGTTTTAATTAAAATGTTACCATAGTTATATTTAGTAATTTATTATTTCTATAATTCTTACCTCAAGAATATTAATATAAATTATACAATTATATATATATATATATATATATATATATATATATATATATATATATATATACACACACACACACACACACTATTATTTTTTTAAAATTAATATAACTAAGATTTTAATATTTAATTTTAATATTGGGCATATATTTTTTGCGCATCGCGCATATAAAATACTAGTCTTACAATATATATTAGAAAAATTTAAAATTAAACAAATTTATGCTATAATAACCTTTCTAGAAATACCATGCATAAAACAAAAAAAGGAAAAGCCATCAAAAGTTGTTGACACAATAAAAATACTTGAGCTATGTTTAAACATGAGAATTTATATGTATTGAAAGTTGCCTTTGAAGGACTGGTCCTCGAATGGGGACCTATCATCCAAACATTATTGAGTGAAAATACAATTACAATACAAACAAATAATACAAAATGACCCTGGGAAGTGGGAACAACCCCGACAACACGATAGTATTAAAATAATATATTTAGAAAAACAAAAACAAAAAAATTGAAAATTGCTTAAAATAGCTTAAAGCTTTCACCCCAATGAAAATTTTCTTCTGCATCAGAATAGAAAGTGTAGGTCTTGAGATTTCCATCAATTTCCAAACGAAGATAAGTCAAAGTGGTGTTAAATTTGGGCTGGGCCAGAACATGGGCCCCCAACTTTGAAGATTTAGCGACCTTGTAGTCCAATTTCAATGTTTGAGTCTTGGCATTGAACTTCACCTCCTCCAAACTACTCTTACCAACAGAGAACCACTTTGAAGAGTCATGATACAAAATGGGCCTGGCAGAGTTCTTGGTTTGGTTGTAAAAGCCCAACCTCGTAGGCTCAAGAATTATTGTATATGGGCCGTTGGTATTTTGGGTCTCTGAGGCCCGGCTCACCAATTTCTTTGGGCCAGATAGACGGAGAGACTGACCCACCAAGAGAGTATCAGTGGGGTGATCAAAACTTTGCCAGACAAAATTGCCCTTGGCGTCATGAAGTACCATGTTACCATTTTGTAACAACTTGAAGCCGACCACCCCCTTGTTGGCCGTCTCGGATTGCCACGCCACCCGACCGTCAACGTCGGCAAGGACGAGATTTCCATCCTGTCGGAGCTCAAAGATGGCGCCGTCACGAACCGGCTTTCCCCGGTTGGCTTCCCACACCCATCGCATGCGGAGCTCCGAGCGGACCGTGCCCATGCGTAGTGCTAGGGTGTATGCATTCGGAGTGGTGTTGTAAAAGCAAAGCTGAAAAGGATTGCTAAACACATCAACAACACGATAATCGGCTCGGTATTCCACAACGTAAGGGCCTAGTTCCCCTTCATTCACAAACTTGAAGGTGTTCTTGGCCGGAACTTGGGCAAAACATGTAAGGATCTGGATGGAAACAACGAGAAAGATGAGAGTTGAAGAGTACGATGAGGGAGACGACATGTTTTTCAGGTTTAATTTGTAACTTGCTTTGATGAGTTTGTATGGTCCATAAGGTTGTGAGAGGCTACTATATATAGAGGATGAAGATTGGGTGCAGAAAATATAAGAGGGAATTTCATTTATACGATAATGTATTTTAATTAGCTGTCATTGACTCGTTGTCCATTTATGAATACATCTAGATTTTGCATGGGGTCAGCTAGATATGGTCAAAGAAAGCCACTTGCACAGTTGCACTCATTGCTGGGGTGATATTAATTAAGACAAATGGAAAAATGATAGGTTGTTTATTAACTCGAAATTTTTGGAAATTTTTAAAAATTGAAAAATAAAAAACAGAAAATATGTTTACTAACACAGTTTTCTGTTTTGAAAACTGAAAATAATTTTTAGAAATTTTTAAAAAATTAGAACACACTTAAAAACTGTTTTCGAAATGGAAAACAGAATTATATATCATCTATTTAGTTATATGTCACTATAACCACATTACTATGATTACATTCATTATCATCTTATTTTACTTATCACTATCTTCAATCTTTTCTACTTACTTTACTTACTTAAACATAATTTATTTGCTTACATTTTAAAGTTAGACATTATTTACATTATCAAAATTAAGAATTAAACTCTATATAACGTTTTAGATTTTGATTGAACCCAATAGATTATTAGTTCAAATATTTTTAATTATGTTACATCATAATACAAGTTCGGTCTAGCTAGATATCGGATATTGAAATCTCACATATATTAAAATTCAAAGTAAAAGTTATATCTACTATATATATATATATATAGGCTATTTTTCTGGTGCGAACCATTAATAACGTGCGAACTAGTGTACCAATCCAGATCGTCGATATGCTTGATCATACGGCCCAAATATTGCATGCTTCAATCGGAACGCTGCACCACGCACCATGTGATACCCTCCCCTATTTACGTAACCTCCCCCAACCGTGTGTTATAAGAATCCGACAACGCATATACTTCTGATTTCTCGCGTTGTTTACTGTGCTGACGTCTCCTCCTTCACCGACAGTGGCCGTTCGGACGAAGCGTGACGATGGGCGACTCCAATGCGAGTGCATCACTAGGTTCACCCGCATGTTTTTCTACCCCCCTTCATGTCTACCGCCCGTTGTTTGTTTTTTACCCCCATAACAATTTAACAACGTGTTTGTGCAGGGGATCGAGCGGTGATCCCGGAAGCGGAAGCCATCGATGGTTTTACGGCGGGGTTGCCAAGCGAAGACCAACAATGGACGCATGCTGTGGACGTTTCAGTACTGCCAGCGGTGGGGCGTGTATTCAACACACTAAACGAGGGCATCCAACACTACACCAACTACGCCCGAATAATGGGGTTTGACGTCCGCTGCAGTAGCGTGAAACGAGACCGAGCCGGAGTTATCTACTCACGATATTTGGTGTGCAGCCGGCAAGGGGTCAAAGGTGGTGGTACGACACTCCATGCCCGGGTTGACGGTGGTGAAGCTAAGCGTGAGCGCCGCCGTCGGCTTTCGAACAGGGTTAATTGCGGAGCCAGAATTGGGTTTATAAAAAAGGGTTCTGGGAAGTTCGTTGTGACCGTTTTTGTTGAGAAACATACGCACAAGTTATGCTCGGAGTCGTCTAAACTATTCTTGCGGATAAACCGACGGCTCGACGTGGCCAAACAAGCTTTTTTAGGTAATTGTATTAAGGCTAACATTGGTGCTTCAACCGGACTTCGGTTTTGCAAGGAGGCAACTGGGTCGTATGCTAACGTCGGTGCAACCGACGTGGAATTTCACAATTTCAAACGGGACGTCCAAACCTACGTTGATGTAGCTGATGGCGAGATGATTATTGCAACATTCAAAGCGAAACATGAAGTCTGTAATGAATTCTTTTTTGATTACCATCTGGACGAAGAAAACCGACTCACGAGACTGTTCTGGGCTGACCCACTCGGTAGGCGGACATTTACTTGCTATGGTGATACCATCTCATTCGATGCGACCTATGGAACAAACAGGTACGGGGTTGCACTTTGTTATTCAATTAATTTGTTTTCATTGATGTCCGGACAAATCTCATAGACAGTATGTGAATTGGTACACCATTTTTGTTGACCGAATTATTATTTGTAAAATTGGTACTCCCTTCACAACTGTTGATTATTGTTTAATTATATACCATTGGAATAGATTTATTTAATAATGAAATGCTAGTTACGTAACATGGAATTCGATGATCCTATGAATTTTTGCATCGTTTTCTGCGCATATTTATTAAGACACCTGTGTAGAATATTTTTTAGCCTACGTGTTAGTCAATTTTGATTTGCTGCTAGTTACTAATATTGCATACATGCAGTTATTAATATTGCATTACATGTGTAGTATACACGATAATAGTATTAGCCGGTAAGTAGATCACAGTTCCCTTTTAATTGTGCAGGTATAGTATGGTGTTTGTGCCATTCACCGGTTCGACAACCACAAACGATGCATCACTTTTGGGGCCGGACTCCTCACAAAGGAGGATGTTGATTCATACAGCTGGCTATTAGAGAGATTTACATGTGCAATGGGCAAGATCCCAATGTGCGTCGTGACCGACCAAGACCCAGCAATGAAAATTGCTATCGAACAAGTATTATCAAAGTGCCGACATCGCTACTGTATGTGGCACATCATGACTAAGGTTAATGAAAAGCTAGGGGGTGAGTTAGCTAAGGACACAGAGTTTCGCAAGAAACTAAATGCTATTGTCTGGAACGAGGGAATTCGCAGCATTGAATTTGAGGCAGCATGGAAACTACTAATGGACGAATACAATCTATCAAACCACCGTTGGTTCTGCAAAATCTTCGGTGAAAGGGAGAATTGGATCCCTGCTTATTTTTCAGATCTGCCCATGTGTGGGCTGTTGCGAACCACATCGCGGTCAGAAGCAGAAAATGGTGTATACGGTAGATTCGCACGTCCCCATTCTAGTTTGGTAGAGTTTTACATGCAATTTGAGAGCGTGTTGGGAACGCAACGATATCGGCAGGATAAACTGAACGCAAATTGCGAGGGTCACTTGCCAGAGTTCAAGACGCCACTAGCACTCGAGCGGCATATTGCACAGGTGTTCACCATCACTATTTTTTACGAGTTACAAAAAGAAATAGAAGCAGCTTGTTTTTCTTGTTCTGTGGTTGGTGTACGACACGATGGTGATAGCACTCATTACGACATTGAGGGTGAGCACAACAGTATTGCAACCGTGAACTACAAGGCAGGCGGGGCTGGTACGTCTTGCAGTTGCAACTTATTCAGAAGAATTGGTCTCGTCTGTCGACATATGTTTGTGGTTTTCCGGGGTGCAAAGTTGGAACAATTACCACCCGAATATATTGTGAACCGGTGGTGCAAGCACCTTAACTGTAGCGCGTGTAAGGGGATCCCATATGCAAGTGATAACCCACCACCCGTAGCAACCCAACTGTGGGCTGAGATCAACACATGCGTTGGGTTGGCAGGTAATAGCATAGAGCGGCAGGCACGGATGGTCTCGGTACTAAAGGGTCTTACAGCTGAATTTGGAAGTGATGGCCTAACTGTGAGCCCTGTTAAGGGTAACCGTGCTGCAATACAAGCATTATGCGGCGTGGAGCCACCACAATCCATAACTATACAGGCCCCACCCCAAGCAAAGGACAAAGGCACCGGGAAGCGTATAAAAAGCAGCAGGGAGATAGCAATTGAGAAAAATGCCAAAGTCGGACGAAAGTGCGGGATTTGTGGTAAATACGCGCACCATAACGCACGTAGTTGCCCTTCAAAGTAACTTTTTTTGGAAACTTGTATAGTGTTTTAATTGTTCTATTTTTATTCCAAACTACTTTCGAACCTATTTTTTGCTTCGTTTTCTGGATTCAACGTAATGTGTACATTCCATTTAGTACAGCATGGGCGTTTTAAACATTGTCCCCATTTTAATTTGTACATTCCGTTTTGCACTTGTCAAGCTGTAATGTGAATTTAAATTTACACCCGGTCCCACATTTGCTGTAATGTGCATTTAAATAAGACGTCTTACACTTAAATTTCGTGTTTACAGTTGGCAAGCTTTGTACCGCCGTCTGCCCTAATGCATGCACATAACTAATTTTTGTGTCAAAATTAATTAACTCCCAAAGCATGCATATAACTAATTATTGTGTCAAAATTAATTAACTAATAATGACACCAAATGCATGGATATCCCGACTGAGTATACAACAATTAATCTTTAAAACTGAATCATTTGCACGAACCCGGATTGCAAACTAGTATACAGATAATCAAACAAATATAGGTTACAAACCATTCAAACATGCGACTAATCAGATAATTAACAGGCGAAATCGGATATAAACAAGTAGACGAAGTAAATCTAATGCACTGCACCGTCCTTAATAACCGAGCTAGTATTCAATACCACCAACGACTAAGATAAACTAACCAAAGCATTCAAGCATGAGACTTGCGCTATGCCATAATGTTATTGCCAACAAAATGTAAATAAACCCCAAATATTTACGGTCCAATTACTACCAAAATTTATCCCAGGCTGACACCACACGACACGTCCTTGATCACCGATGTAGTTGCGCTAATCTTTTACGTTCAAACCCTGCAACCCGCGTTGCAATCCTGTTTGTATGGGCGTTAATCACGCTGAGCAGGATATTATACATGTAGCGCGTGCGTAAGTCGAGTAGTTGCAGAGCATTCCCTCGCTGCAGGCCCGTATCCCAAGTCGCACAGCTCTGCCCAGCATATGCCTCCATGTGCCGCATCGTGAAGACCCCAGATTCCACCGTTGATGTGGTATCCCTCCAACTCATCTGCATCCTCTTCGGTTTCATCATTTGAAGACGTGCAGCTCGAAGCCCTTGCATATTGGAGTCCAGGTACGCACCCAAGCACATGATCTGCAACAAACCCATTAATACTAATACCAATAATAATACCAATACTAAACCCATTAGTTACCTAACGCCTGTTCTACAACCAAAAAATAGAAAGGCAGAAATCACACTGAGCAAACATCGACACATACCAGATCCTCTGGTGCACTGCCATACATTTCTTTGTTAGTTTTCTTCACAGACGAACTGTCAATGATGTCAAATCGGGAGTGGTCAAAACTGATAGCCATCATGTAATATGTGCCATTGTCGAAAATTGGGAAAACAAACTGCATTTGCATTCAAAAGAAAGATTAGTCCATGTAAAGTAAAAGTCGTTGCAACTACCTTAGAGGGACAGGTATGTCACCAAATCTACGTCGGCAGTCCCCCACGGCCAATCCTCTGCAGCTCCCCATCCATGCGCTTCGCAAACCACCCAATCCTCGCATCCTCGTTGGCCGAAGTTGCAACAACGATCCCAACCTGCATTTACAGTTGCTAATAAGACGGGGTTTGAGAACAAGTTAACCCTTAAGCTGTTAGGTTCATTCATTTCTGCATAAGCAAATATATACATATATAGGTCAGCTAGTCCCTATTTACTATATATCTGCACTCAAAGAAATATAAGAACAAGCAAACAAAAACCCCAACCTGTTAACCAATATCAATTAAAACTGCCCAGGTCTAAAAAAGGACACGAAGGTTGGTACAAGACTCATCTATTATTTGCAATGCTGCAACAAGAAAGAGTAATACTTAACAGTGACAATTAAATCATTCTGGCCAGTTTGTTGCTCTTTCCCTTTCCACATACCAATTGCCATGAGAGATTGTTCAAGTTATCCATCTAAACAGTAATAAATAACAATGGCAATTAAATCATTTTTCATGTTAATATGTGATTATTGAATAACTTGAAGTACCTAAGTGCAGAAGTACTGGTGATCATATTGGTTTATTTACAATATTTTTTGCAGGCTCAAACAGGTTATCCTTATCCAGATCCTTATTATAGAAGCATTTTTTGCTCCTTATGATACACAGCCATATCCACAACATTTTCTAACAAATAAATAAAGCAGATTTAATGGTAATTGAAATTGCAAGCTACACGCAAAAATGAGAGAACAAGACTTGAACCTAAACAAAAATAGAGTTTTATAGAGTTTTATGCTAGTGTGCATTCTATAGCCTTACCGTCGTGCTAGTGGGCAAAAACAGCCGGGTAACGCCACCAGATCTGTCCACCTTCTCCCGGGCATTCATGACATAGCACCAGGCATCAACAACGGTCTTCAACACGTTCGTCTTCTCCCTTAGCGTTTGGATTTGGGCCCACTTTACAGTCCGTCCAGCGTATTCGAATAGCACCTCATCGCTAAATGAGAAGACAGATAATGAAAACGTTCAAATAAGAGAACCCACCAATAACTTTTAATACTAAACAACATACGAATGAATATAACTTTTAATCTGCTTACCGTCCACCCTGGGAGTTACTAAAAACCCACATCCACAAAACATACACATGGGGCAGTATAATAGTTGGGTACCCAGACATGGGGCTAAAGTACATCCCTGGCGATTGGCCCTGTTGCACAATCGGCTCCTTCCCTCCGTGTGTTGGCCCGTCCACCAACAGTGGAACTGTGTGCGGTGCTGCCGGGTGTGATGCAATACGTGGGGGGTTTGATTCCTACAACTATCGACCCAAATAAACCTCTGACCTCACACTATCAAAGCCATATGACCTAGTATACCTGAGGGGGTAGTGCACTGTGCCTTGGTTGAACAAGTGGGACCTTCCCTATGTGCTTCGGCCCATCTATTCTAGTTGGAGTTGTGTGCGGTACCACCGGATGTTCTGCACCACGCGTGGGATTCGGAACCTGCAACTGTTGGGCAAAAAATAAACACCTGAAATTACACCATCAAATCCATACGAATTACTATACCTGAGGAGGTGCTGCAGTGGGAACCGGTTGGACAAGTGGCTCCTTCCCTTTGTGCTTTGGCCCACGCACTCTAGATGGAGTTGTGTCCGGTGCCATAGGATGTGATGCAACACCCGGTGCGGGGTTTGGTACCTGCCATAGATGGAATATAATAAAGATCTGAAATGACAATGGGAAAGCGATATGAATTAGTATACCTGAGAAGGTGGTGCAATAGTATCCGGCTGTTGGCTCATGTTCCCCATATGGCCGCGTTTTGCAAACTCCTGCGTCATCCCTAAGCTAAAACTTGGCATATCTGACACACCGAGAGTCCCGGTTGCAGCCAACTCGGCCTGGTCCAACTCCCTAATAAAGTCTGCATCATACCACACAGGCCCTTCACTGCGACAAGGTGACAAGGCGGCTGGTTGAGGAGCTGACGTGGTTGCCTTGACACGCAACTTTACAATACCGTCCAACCGTCCCACTGCGTCTACCAACCTCTGGAAATTGCACTCCCCGCGAGCTCCGTCAGAGTACTGGGAAAACAGATCAATTACTCATGTGGTCAACGTATCCAAATCAGCGGTGATACCCACAACCGCTTGGCCGAAATCCTGCACCACATCACACAAACAGGAATGTCACCATGCAGCCTACAAAGTGTCCGAAATATACGGCACGACAAAAAACATACCATGTTCTTCAGGCTAGAATGATCGCAAATAGGAGCACACACTTGACCCCGCCCAAAGCCTCCAGAATCAAGCTCATCCCGCTCGCGTGCCTTGATGACATCCGTGGTCCACCCAACCACCACCGGGATCGCCCTTGGGACCTCCCGCACACCCACGGCCACCCTATCCAAATACAAGAGCTGTAACAAAACCACACGCACCACCGTTAGCACAGTTAAAACACACAAAATCTAAAAACCTAATATCACTTACAGTTAAAAACAGCAATGGGCCAGTGAATTTGCGATTGGTATCCTCGGTCCAACTCCGATGTGTTGCACCCAATGCGCCGATGAGGTACCCACACCAGTCGAGATCCTTAATCCTGTCCACACTACTTAAGATGTGGACAGTCTTCTGGTTTGCATACCCATTCGGTGTGCTCGCAACCAGGGTGGTCATCACTACAACACTAAAGTGTATCTTGAACCACAGGCCCCCATCGCTCAATTCCAACATCCGTTCACACAACGCCTTAACTGTAATCCTTCCCCTCCGTTGCTTGACCTCATTCCTCCAGTCCCGCAACTCCGGGCTAACAACCTGGCTATCCCGTTCACAAATCGAAAGTGGTCCACTTGGCAAGCCAAAAACAGCTGCAACATCCTCCTTGGTGACAGGAATGTAACGGCCATCCCCAAGGTTGATCCTCGTCTTGTCCGGGTCAAAATTGGTGACTAACCAATGCCCCAGTCGCAGCGGTACCTCAGTAATGTTAAACCCCAACAGCGCACCAAGGCCAATTGCCCTAACGTCCTCCCTTTGCCTCGGAGTTAGTGTTCCCACGGCATTTGCAAGGTACTTCGGCATGACCCGTGTGTTGATTTGGCCTGCGGTTGAACGATGCACCCGTGGTGGCTCCCCCACCTCCTCATCCAACACCAACGGCGGGGTTTGGAAAATGTCATCCTCCCTGCTTTCATCGTCACTTAGCTGAACTGGATATTGGTCATTCGAGCCTGTGCCCATCAATGACAACAAGTCATCGCATAAGAGATTATATCCACACCGTTTAACACACATGCATTACTGGTTTGAAAAAATAAGCTAAATACTAGTTGCTATTCAATTTAAGAAGCAATACTAGAATATTGTTAATTGTTAATTGAAATAACTAATTTCTTCATCTGTAGAATCAAAGTTGTCGCTCTGTTCTTTAAACTGGAACCATGGTGTCCCTACTTTCTCATTCAATTTTCCATTCCAACACTCTTC